TGTGAATTATCAAGGAATTGTAGGGTTCTCACCTGTCACTGGTGCCTGTTTCGCAGCTCTGGGCTTAGTCTCCTCTTATACTACGATATTTGTAACAAAATTAATACAATAAAGCTTTAAGACTCTCTGGTTACACTCTTAGAAGCCCAATTCCATTAAAAACAAATTTTACAAAAGACAACCTTAATAAACCTCAATAAAAAATTCATTGCACCCAACTGTTATCGAAAAAACTTCCTAGGAAGTCACAAAGCCTTTTAATAAATAATAAAAATATACTTTTTATTGACCAAAAGGTCTGCGTCTATAGGAATTGCTTCTAGTTTATTTTCCTTCCACTCAACAAATGTTGAAACTTCTTGTTTTGCTGTCCTGAAATGCAAATTCAATCCTCAATCTTGATTTCGACTAAGGGGAAAACCACTTGATGTGGAAAAAACTTGAAAAGGGGATTATCACTGATTTTTCATAGCTATCAAGTTGTTTGCACCCTTAAAAATCAGTAAGTTTTCCATCATGTTGTTTGACTCTTGGAAATTGATAAGCTTCAGACTATTTTGTGAAAACATTTCCCAATCATGTTGTTATCCCCCTCGATTACATCTCTTTCCAGTCCACTGAAGGAATTTATTGAACCCAAAAATGCCCACCCATGATGATGATACATATTCAACACACATTAAAGGAATATTATGTACCATATGAAATTCCTCAATAGCTTCCGAAAAATATAAACATCGATAGGAAGTGGAAAGGAAGAACACAAAGAATTTGATTAACACCAAGCTACAACAACAAGCATGAAGAGATGTTTTTACGTTATTTATTTGATCAATCAATTGAAACAAAATTCATCCTGATTCCTTCCTTTCAACTGAACACACATATGAAATAATTTTGTGCTTTCGCTTCATGCGACTGCAATCGATTTGAAACTTTTCTTTTCTTCTTTTTGGCAGACTTTTGAGCATTTTTTGTTTCTGTTCGAACAGATGTGGCTTTGTAATCGATTTGGTTAAATGAATGGAAGTACACGGAATGTGCTGCATTAAGATAAGCATTGGCCTTGAAAGCGTGAATGAGGGATTTGATTTGGAAGCTTGTGGATTTATTAGCTGATGATCTGGGGAATTTAAAGATGCATCGAAGAGGAAAATTGAAAAATTATTATAAATAATTGAATTGAAATTTGGATTTAATCAGACTTGATTGGAGCTTTTGATTGATTTATTGTGAAATTATTCATAATCAGGGACAGGATCTACGACTTACCAAATCAATTTCTACGACACCAAGAAAATTAAAGAAAAAGAACCAAATTTCTAGAATTATTACAATACATTAAGCATGTCGTGTGCGAAACTCAGTGTCGAAAAATTCCATCACAAAAGTCAAAAAGTTCCTTACAAAAGCCATACAAATTTACAACCGAAAAAAAAATTAAACCTAATCTCATTGTCATTTTCATGGCATCGATTGTGCTTTCAGGGGTTAGAGTAAAAAAGGCTGATTGAACCCTTGAAGAGATTTTTCAGGCTTTTTATAAAATGGAAAATGAATTTCCTAACGAAAGGAAATTAGAAGGAAAAATCTTTTCTCATATTTATCATTTATAAGCTTCTTAAATGCCATTGATAACATCATCCTGCATGTAAACGCTTCCTTGCCGCAAAATCATGTCTTGTGAATACAACAACGAATCTTTTTGACTTTTGCAATTTAATTTGAGGGGAAAAATTTTCTTTATGCTGAATGAAAATTTATGGTTGAAGTTTTGGGTAGAATTAATGCGGTGAACGATGATGGGAGGATGGGAAGTTTAGAGAGAGATTTAAAAGAGATTTTACGGATGTTGAGCATCTATTTAGGCTCAATTAATGAATTTTGAGTACATATTGGAATGAAAGCTGCTGCAAGATGCATGATTTTAGACATTTTGGGAAATCAAACCGTTTTGGGGACTAAACGTAAGGTTTCTAGGGATACTTAGGACACCCTAGCATCTAAAATCTATGATCTAATCCAGGTGACTAAGTTAACCTCTGAAACTAGTCACATCTTCGAAAAATTCTCCAGAAATCGATCAAATAATGTCAATTTTATTTATTAAGTCCATTCGAAACCGTTTCCAAAAGATAATCCATAGATTAAAAAGCTCCTTAGAATAAAGTTCAATTTTTCATAGCTTTAAGAATGTTGACAAACTTTTAATAAGCTATCCACAAAGCTGTAATCTCATACTACTTATCTTACCACCGAAAAGCTTGGAAATCCCAGACTTAATCCAGTCTAGTCTGTGGCTAAAATGAATTTCCAGCTTTAAAAGTTTATCTTTCTCTATAAAATCATAATCCTCATAAGGGGTCGTTCACTTATGACGTCCAAAATGAACGGTCATTTTTCAAAAAAGAACAATAGATTTCCAGGAATTTCTATTGTGCTTTTCTTCCTGACCCCCTGGACGTCATAAGTGAACGGCCCTAAAAGAATCCATAGTCTTTTAAAGTTCTTAGTTCAGTACGAAACTTCTTGCTCATTCTCATGAAATCCCCAAAAGCATTAATTTTTCCGTCTGTTTATTGTGTTTCGTCTGCGTATCGTGTATCATGGTTGAACAATAGCTGCTAAAAATTCATTGATTTTCCTTTCATCGAACCCTTTTTTTGTTCGCACGTCTATAATGAAAGTGATAGCTTTAATAACATTTAAGCACATTACAAACCTTTAAGAGTTAAATTAATTCACTCATCTATCAAATTTCCCTTTTTTCGCATTAAATTTTGCACAATTTCCTTTCCACCCCCTAATTTCCATCATAACATATCATTTACAGCACAATATATGGCGATAAGCAAGAAACTTTTCATAAATTTTGTTGAAATATTCACCTTTTTGGGGGTCATTTGAAACCCTGAGTGTTGCGAGCAGCCGCAATTTTATTGAGTCTATTCACAGTATCGATTACTTGTGATATGAGTGTGTGTACGGATACAACAACAATGCTTTGCAATTGAATATATTTTCTCTTCTTCTTCTTCTTCTAGCTATGATTGTGGAATAGATGCAGCAAACAAGAAAGAAAGGTTGGACTTAAAATAGCTTGATCCCATGGTAGATTTTAATTGGATTTGTTTGCAAATTTTGCGGAAAGAAATTGAAGATTTTATGTTTAGAGAATCTTGGTTTTTAGAGCCAGAAAGGGGGTCTTCAATGTATGATGCCAAAAAAATTAGAACTTCAGACCATTAAGCTTGAATGAAGAACAATCCCTGAAGATCGATTTAATTTACTCAAAAAATTCTCAACCTTTCTTGATTTGTGCTTGGAAGCACCTTAATTTATGCATTTATTGTTTTTTACGCCTTCATATAAAGCTTTCCATATAAGTCTATTATATAGACTTAGTAGTCAATTAATTAAGATAAGAATGGCCAATTATCACTTGAATAATTATCATGATGATGTAATGAATATTCGTAGTTGATTATTATGAATGGATGATTCCTGATTGTATAAAGCTATAAATGGCTTATTGATCCGGCTTGCTTTACACACAAGTAATAGGAACTCAAAATAGTTTTAAACAAGGCATGACTTGGAACACAAGACATGACTTTTAGTAAATTATTTGGCTTAGGATCTATCAGAGCTTTAAGTCGATGAGATTTTGTATAGAGTCAAGTTGACTTGGAGTCGACGTCTCCTTTAAAAAAATGCGATAAAAATCTAGAGTCGACTTTGAGCTCTGGCGATCGACTAATGTCAAATTTTATGGTACATTCTGAAGAAATTGTCATTAGTCGACCCTAATAATAATAATAATAATGTCTGAAGGGCCCAGCTTTTCAAATCGGAGGCAATGATATTCAATTTGTAAAGAATCTATTGTCCCACACCCTTTAATCGACCCTAAGTCTTTCTGCAACTTTACATCATATAAAGTGGTCCACTTAAGAATGGTTGTAACAAGGAATGTATGTTTAGGAACAATCTTCTTTCTCAATCCCGCTTCAAAAAATACTAGCTACTCTCTTAGACTGTAATACGACTGCCATGTAGCTACAATTCAATTACTATTGCAGTAAAGCAGTGTTGTCCAAACTGTGTGCCACAGCACATTAGTGTGCCATAGAATTGTTTATTAAAATAACGCGAGTCGCATGATATGAGCGACTTTGGTCATGGCTTACATCTAAAGTGTGCCGTTGCTCAAAAATTTAGGAAAAAGGACAACGCTGCAGTAAAATATCACTTAAAAACTAAATGTATTTTCTCTTGAATACTGCATCACTGTGCAAGATAAGTATAGAATCATTGCCTTTCCACAAACTATTATGTCATTGATTATTTAGAGACTATATCCAGTCCATTACAAAATATCCACATCAGCAAGATTAGTCACCTGATAAGTTTTTCAACAAACAAAAAAATCCATTCAGTTTCAGCAGCAACATGCACATCGTCAACCTTGACAATGAATCTTCAATTGTATAATTTTGGAACTCGTCCAATTTTCCAACCCACACTACAGCAAACAGCAGTAATCAGCCCCAAAAAAAAAGAATTGTCAATAACCAGAAATTAATTTTCATACTGAAGCCTCGTCTGACCCACAAAGGCAGACATGAGGTATAAGCAATTATTCATAAATTAAATAAAAATAACAGAATACAAAGTCTTTTTTTTGTGCACTGCAGAGACGTGTGTATTAAAAGTTCCAACTTTGTTTAAACTAAAAATACCAAGACAGAACAAAAGACAGCTCTGAGCGAACATATTGCAAAAAATATATAATAAAAGACGAGGAAAAATGAAGATAAATGAGAATATAGTCAGGCACAGATATGGACATAGATTTCATATATCTTTACGTTTGCAGATACGAGTTCAAGGTGATAATAAATATGGCTATACTGGACATAAGTTTTGGTCAGTAATCAACAACAAGATTACGAGAGAGAAGAACAAACAAACAAAACTACAGAGAATGAGGAACTTACCCATGCTTAAGCAGACTATTCGGACTATTTTTCGTTTGTAAATTGAGCAGTGACTTTGTTGTGTATCGACTATTTTGCAACAATGCGGAAGACGAGCTATTGGTTGGTGACGTCACAACAAAATCACCGGTACTATTCCATCGCTTCGCAAGACCTGTTGGACTGCCCATACTGCTGCCACTTTGCGACATTAAGTTTGTCGTCGACGATTGATGATTATTATTGTTATTAATATTATTCATATTATTTATATTATTATTACTAAGCTGCAATGGTGCAGCCGTGGAATGTACAGTTGCAGGTCGAGGAAGTGGTGACGCTGCAGGGGATGTGCTGCTTTGTGAATCAGCTGAATGTAGCGATCCATTAGACTGATGATGCAATGATCGTCGATTTAAATTTGTTACTTTTGTATTAGCTTGAAATCTAGAAGGCGAATTTGTTGTACTATTTGTATTGCTGCCGCTTCTCCTCAATCGCCAGTCATCAAGCGTTGTTGCTGGCGCTGTTGTTGTTATTTGTGATGAACGTACTGAAAAAAGTTATAAAAGAGAGAAAAAAATGTTTAAATTTGTTTCGTCTTCTTTCACTCGTTCATTAGGGGCCGTTCACTTATTACGTTACGCAAAAAAACGTCTTTTTTCACCCCCCCTCCCTCCCTTGTTACATTTTGTTACAATTTTTCAACCAACCCCCCCCCCCCCCCCCTAAAATGCGAACGTAATAATTGAACGGCCCCTTATCAAAATTATTACATCACGACAATTTGGATTGAATGTACGTGACAACAAAAATGTTCATGTCTTAGGGGCCATTCACTTATTACGTAACGCTTTTAGGGGGGGAGGGGGTCTAAGATTTTGTTACGGTTCAAACAAGGAAATTTTTTTTTCATACAAATTTTGTTACGAGGGGGGGGGGGTCTAAAAAGTCATTTTTTCGCGTTACGTAATAAGTGAACAGCCCCTTATGTGATTCTCTCTTTTGGCTTCCTTCTTGTTCTACATTTTTTCACATACTTTTTTAACATTCTTGAAAAATAAAATTATTGTTTATGTTTTTTGTGTGGAGAAAATTTTACTTTGGTTTTTATTATGAAGGCGGGGGTGTTGGACTTGAAAATAAGTTGGATGCGATAATGGAATTTATTTTTGAGGCGTTGCTTTAATGCAATTTTTATTACCTTGTCGTTGAATTTAACTTAGAATGAATTGATGAAGACTATAGGGTCGACCACTCGAGTCAGATTGAGATTTTTGACAAAGTTTAAGTTGATTAGGCTGTCCATCGATTTTTGTCGAATTTCGTTCATAAAGCTGGGCAAGTCCCGCTTTCCGGGACTTATCAGCTCTGAAAAAATGTAACTGAATTTGAAGCACATGGCAAGAAAAATTGGGTAAAATAAAGCAGGACTCTCCTGATCAGAAGTGTGCAGTTGGACAGCTTAATTTAAGGATTGATTCTGGGCTGGAATTTAGTTGCCAAAAGATGAAAACTCACCAACGCTTTCAACGAGTAAACATCAAAAGAGTTTAACTAATTTATTTTACAAAAAACAGTTCTCGAATAAAGAATCATCTCAAAGATGGCAGTCAAGGGGCTTAGACAGCACAAAAGAGCCTTAAAACTCAAAGACTTCATTTGCCAAAATTCCTTAAGTGCTCAAATCCATCTTTTCAATTCATCTATAAGGTATAAGTCATTTTTCAAAACGAACAATGGATTTCCAGGAATTTCTATTGTTTTTTTCTTGCTGACCCCCCCCCCCCCCCCTCTCCTCCTGGACTTCATACGTGAATAACCCCTAATACAAATATCACATTTATACTCATGAGTCATGACTGAATATTTTTTATATATTTGCGTTACTTTTTAACAGCATTAGCACCATTTTTTGTCTCTTACAACTCAACAGTGGACATAGACGTAATTTAGGGAATGTATCTGTAAATTATTGATGCTATCGTCAGCAACAATTGGTCACAAGCTGACTAAAACGTTTTTTATTTTAACAAAATCACTTCTGCATTTTCTTTATTTTTTAGATTCTATGTTGATGTCTATCCTAATACCTTAATTCGAACAACAAACTTTAAAAGTTTATTTTGCTTGTTTTCATTTCTCAGACCAGTGTCTAAAAATACCTTAAATACGTTTAACACAAAATATTTGTCAGCAGATGTTACAAATACACAAACTTGCGTTGATTCGTAGAACTTAAGGTCGATTGCCCTTATATCCAGCACATTTAATGCTAATCTTTTAGCAAATTAACTTAGTCACGCAAGAATGTCTGAAAATAGTTGAGAAACTTTAATGTTCTTTATTCTTTTTTCTAGACAAATGTTCACCTAGTACAGTGGTGGTCAACCTTTTTTGTGCCACCGCACACTTGGGGATAAGGCATGAACAAACCGCACATAGCATATGAGATATCCCCACATTAGTGTGCCGCGGCACACGGGTTGTCCATCACTGGCCTAATATGATCTACATTCACGTGACTAACAGGGCTGTAGCAATGCAATTTAAAATTTTAGCCCCCTTAAAATAGATGTTGGCATCAATCTTGAATGGAATGTACGATAGAAAGCCAAGTCCCTCCAGCTACGCATCTGTTAACTACCAAAGTGATCACGAAGAATCACATTACCATTATAGAAATTTGCCATAAAGTGATGTAATCGTATGCAAATTCTCATCTACTAAGAATAAAGCAGAACCAAAAGCACAAAATGTGCAAAAGAAGAAACGCGTGTGGCATGTCAATGTCTATCACTTTATGGATATTTTATTCATAACTCATGATAAAAATAGTAATTTCGAATGACAGTTAAAACTTTGTGGTGTGGCTTTTTTACTACAACACTTTAATGACACTTTGTAGGATTTAAAAAGTATATGGAAAGTGCACGAATCTTATGTAATTCTGCTGGGTAGAAAAATTTATGAGTGCTGTTAATGGACGAACATTTTTAGGACGTTTTGCAACATGTGTGCATTAGGGAAGGCTGCTGAAGTTTGTGAGACATTCTTTTGGATCTAATTGATTTTTCAAAATGAGGCACCAACTGCTGAATAATAGGGTATATTTTTAAGAAATTAATGCTTAACTTAAGGTTGCATTCTATCAATTAAGAAATTAACTTCAAAAAGCTTATTCTGATTAGCATTTAGTCAGAAACTACAAGAATCGGGTTCGATTTCCATACATACTCATTTAAGGCTTAACGTATTCCATATCACTCATGTGTATAAATCAGTGGTGTCCAACCTTTTTTGTACCACTGCACACTTTGTGATAAGGCATGACCAAAACCGCAAACAGCACACGGTTCGTAGTATATCCCTAATTTTTCGCGGCACACGGGTTGGCCATCACTGATGTAAACTATCAAACACTTCAAGTTCATTGATTCATATCAATCTACAGATTCAATAAGTTTCCCATTCATTACGGTACGTGATATCACATCTACGATAAAATAATCGAAAAACTAATAATAACTTAGATCTACCCGCGCACTCAAAGACATCAACAAATGCTTAACACTTTCTATAGTCCAATAAACTCCAGAGACTGTCTGAGACTGTCTTTTATCTTATTAAGTGACAAGAATTTAATGACAAAATATAAAAACGAAAGCGATTCAATTAATTATTGATAAAGACGGGAGGTACTTAGAAAATGACAAAGCATTTAATTAATAATCAATAAAATTAAATCAAGTGCTTTTTTATGGTTGCAAGATGTTTATTGAGTTTCAACTTCAGCCTTTAAGGTTGAATGAATTCTTTTTCTGCGAATTTTTCATTCATTAAAAAAATATTTTAAAGGTTTCATCCTCCAAGTTCATTAAGATGTTTCATCTTAAATAATGAACCTTTTTTGGATTTTGTAAACACAACCGCCTCTTGTTATCTATATTGTAAATTACAGCATGAGTCAATTAAAGAGACCTGAATTTAATTAGAATTATTAAAAACATCACAAATTTGTGTACGATGTCTTTGTATTAATTAATAGAGCTTTAGGTAGATATGCTTAATTATTCATAGAATTATTAATCGAAAAATACTGATTAATTTACAAAGACAGGCATTAATGATATTGAAATTGGGTTTGTGCTTATGAAAATTACTTTGCCTTGATGTTGGGTGTTGGAATTCTCAGATTTGAATTTTTTGAATTAATGGAAAGTTGTGATGTCTAATTTTAAGTAAGGGGCGTGGCCAGGAGGGTGTGGACTTTGAAGAGGGGGGGGGGGGGGGGGGGGGGGGAAATTTTATATGGAAAATTCAGAAGAATTTTCTGGCAAAATGAAGAAATTTCTGTTAACGTCGGGGGATTTGTCCCCAAAAGCCCCCCCCCCCCCCCCCTTCCTGGTTACAAGCCTGCCGTAGTGAGAGCACAGCTCAAAATTTTCAGGTCAAAAACTACAAGACTCGGGTTTGATTTTCATTCATGCTCATTTAAAAGTTGACCCCCCCCCCCCCCCCAAACACAGCTCAAAAATTTATTTTGGGTAGAGGAATCCAGACCCTCTTGGCAAAGCTCCTGTTCTAAGTGTTGAAATTCAATCAGAAGTGAGGATTTATGAACCATTTAAAACCTCCTTAAATGACATGATTTTGGTAAATTAAATCAATTTTAAATTGTGATAGCGTGAACAGTTATGGATTATTTTGTTCCAATTTTGATCAAATCGAGTCATGCGATTTTGTTCAAAGACAGTTAAGTATAATTTTGAATGTCAAGAGGATTTGATTTGATTAATAAGCAATTTGGGGTTTGCTTAGATAAAATAAATCAATATTAATTTTAGGGCTATTCATAAATGACGTTTATGATAAAATTTAGATTTTAACCCCCCCCCCCCCCCTTGGTATTAAAAATTGTATTAAGATAATCTTCAATTAAACTTCATTAATCCCAATCTTGTAATAGGGGGTCGTTAATGAATGTCGTCCTTATAATATTTTAAGGTAGGTTACAAGAGGGTTAAAGAGGATAAGCGAGGCTTAAGGGGAGTTACGGTTGGTTAAAAAGAGTTGAGGGGTGTTAAAGAGAGTTAAAAAGGAGGGAAAATCTAAGCAAAATGTTGACTAATGAGGATTTGTCCCTTAAACCTCCATGACTACGCACCTAGTACGTTACAATAGAGACCCAATAGTTGAATGATCCCAAAATTTTGAATTCCTTACTCTTCTTTGCCAATTAAAACACAATTCATTGGAATCCTATCAAAAGATCCTCAAATAATATTTACATAAAGTCACATTCCTTAGCTTATTCATTGTTAACATATTTTCTAAACTCAATCCTTCTGAGAATAAAACCTACTTCCATTACTTTCTATTTTATCAAAAAACATATCTAAATGAGTATGTAGGATGTCACAAAATATCAATAAAAGAGCCAAAAGCATCAACTGAAGCATTCAAAATTGTTTTTAATAGATGAAAAGTCAACAGAACTCTAAATGTCATGTAATGCAAATATTAAGTAACTCAATCAGTACAAAATTAAACGTCAAATAACATTTAAAGCTTCTGATTTGGGTTTCAAAGCTCCTAGCAATTATCGCATCATTTCCGCCTTCAAATTTCCATTTGCATCAAATATTCTGTTCCAACTCCCTCGTTAATTACTGTCAAAAAAATTCTGTGGGGTCGTTCGTAAGTGATGGCTGTCAAAATATGGGGTTTTATGAACTTTCGACTGTAAAATGGCTTTAATTTTGATAAAACAATTATTTCTCATTCAGGGTTGACTAAATAAATGTTAGACGTCACTTATGAACAGCCCTCAAGTTACAAAAATATATTCAAAAATAGAAGTGCCATGAGATGTGATAATTACACTTCAAATCTCATCAATGTCCACACAAAAAACATTTTTACGGTATTCTACGTACAAATTATAAATAAAAAGTATAATACTCACTTCTGTTATTCTTAATTGTTGTTTCATACGAGCTGGAGGAGGACGTTGATGATGATACACGTGATGAATTGCAATCGAGAATATTGAGGCGCCGTAAAACTTCCGCAAGTGTTGATTTTAGTGACAAAATTTCCTCTTGCTGCTCCAATACTTGTCGCTCAAGGTCATATAGTCTCTCAGCCATACTAGAACTTTCTGATTCCAACATTTCGTCTGCAATAATTTTTTTATTCCGTTCGATTTGGTTTGTTTTTTTTTTTGGATTTTTTACCGAAGGGGGGAATGCGAAAAATTTTCATATTGTTAGTATCAAAAATTTAAAAGGATGGAATTTATTTGATTTTAAAAAGGTAGGAATAGAAATAAAAAATTGTGGTTATAAATGGATGGGTTGGATAGATGGGAAGCAAATTATGTTAGAATATTCATAAATTTTAAAATAAAAGACAGGAAACGAAAAAAAATAGGGGTTGAAAAGAGTTGTCATAGCCGAAATGCCAAAAGACAGTAAATAAATGTGAGAAGGCATCAAAGAAATACCGTCGCATGGGGTTGAAATATTTGTTTTTGTTTAGAAATTTTTTATAAGTTCTCAAAAGTTTTGACAGGAAAAATGCTCTGTCATTCATATTTAAAGCTGCTGAATTTACGTAAATCATCATGATTTCCCGAGTAGCACATAAAGCAGTGGAATGTTTATTGATCAATGACTTTGTAATGTCGTGAGCATTGGGCGAATCTTTGTCATATTGAAAACACTCTATATAGAGCAGTGTTGTTCAAACTGCGTACCGTAAGGTTGTTTGAAAATGACACGAGCCGAATGCTGTGTGCGACTTTGGTCATGGCTTACACTTAAGGTGTGCCGTGACTCATAAAGCTTGAACAACACTGCTCTATATAATGATTTAGAGATCAGTCATTGGTGAGAATTGAACCCACGTCCTCAGTACAAAAGAAGGTTACAGATATCCGGTCTGTTGTTTAACGACTCACACCACAGAGGCCTATACCTCGCACTAGCAGATTCGCCTATATATGGATCGATACACAAGATTACACTCTGCTCCGACACTTCAAACTATTTGTTTAAAGATCAATAAAGTACCACTGTGCAAATGTGTTAAGCTCAGGATCATAGCTCAAAATAGAATTTTATGACCAAGAACACATAAATTAACAAATATTTGTAATTCCACAGTTAGTAGAGGTATAATCAATAACAATAATTATTACGATTGAGCAATAAGCCTTTAAGTTTGGTTAAAATATGAAGCAACGTAAAAGTCATTGACTTTCCCAAGAATATCATAGAAACAGAATTCATTTTAAGCTACAAAATTGTCATATTGAGAAAAGCTGCAACACCATTGATGAATCATTTTAGTTTAACTTTAACAAGTAGTTGACTTTGCGCACATCAGTAGTAAAGTTCCCAGATCCATAAAAATCTAGATCTGAGCTTGATGTTTCGCTAATTATCTAGCACAGATCAGTTTTAGACAGCATGAATAAATAGGATGAGACAAGAATGAAATACCAAACCCAAAGATTGACAAAAATTGAATTAGTCATAAAAAAAACCCAGAACTGACTTCGCATAGCGTAAAATACAATACCAGGCTGGCATGAGTTTGACGAAAGCCAGATTAGGTGTGAATCTGATATCAAGCTAGCTCAACACTAGCCTAAAACGTATTTTCCACTTTGTTAAAGCCAAATGCCATTCAATATCCATAAAATACTCCAAAATTTCTAACATAATCAACTTTAATCAATGTTTTAACATTATTAATGGCACAAAAAAGTGAATGGCAGTCCTATGAATGTAGTATTTACCAAAACTTTCGCTGTTCGCCAGTGAGGTGCTATTAAATTTTGTGCTGTATGAGCTCACACTATACTTATTGCTAGTATAATGATCGCCATTCCTTTTTTGTGCTGATCTAAAAATAATTGCAAAATAAATTTTGATAGGAATGTCAAAAAAAAAATTAAAAAATTTGTCCAGCACTTAATCCAGAGGATAAACTTGCACCATGCCAATGTGGAAATGAAATGTATTTTTTATGAATTGTGGTTTGCAGAGTTGGTGCCACACATAAGTTGCCAACTCTGCAGTCTAGAAAATATTCATGACAATAGATTATTCACAGACACAAGACCAACCCTTAAAATAGAAAGATGATAAAGCAATTTAAAGGATATCAAGATTTCCCAGAAGAGGATCGATTGACGTCAGAACTTTAAGTACTGTCTAGTTCTATTAAAGATCCTTAAACCTTTGTATTCAAAACACAATAAAAAGTATGAATGAAAATATATTAAGTATAATATCAGATTTAGTGGAAATACCGTGACAACTTCCCGCTATTCAGCATTGATTTCTCAGAAGGCAGCCCTATAGAAATTGTATGTCCCAAAATATACACAACATGTCATATAATCATGCATGATATGATTTTTCAACAATACAGCATAACGTGACTTATTTATGAACAGGAGTACGTATGCATAAACATAGAATTCCCAGAGGTTGAAGGTCGCTCCTTAAAAAATATTTACGACTTGTTTATATGGCAGCTGAGATTGAAGTAAAATTAAATAAATTTTCTGCTGAATTCTGGGAATAAATCATTAGAACTGCTGTAAATTTGTCCTTTTAATTTTTTTTTGAAATATTTTGTACTTTGACATTTGGGAATTTTCGATATGTTTGATGGATGTAATTGAATTTTCCTCAGGGGGGTAACAACGTGATGGGAAAAGGTTTTGATTGAGACAATCTGTTTCCATCTAAACTGCAAACGGAAATTTTGATGAAGAATTTGGTAAATTTCCCAATCAAAACTTTTCCTCTTCAAGCTGTTCCCCCCTTGGGAATAAAAGTGCAAGAGGGAAAACAACATCAAAGGAAGCAGTTTTGATAAAAATGGCTTAAAATTTACAGTCAATTTATTTTTCATCAAGTTGTTTCCACCCTGAAAAAACCCGCAATATCATCACAAATTTTAAATTCACACCAACATGATTATCCGCATAATTCAATTCTCCTAAACCCTCGCATTATCCTCCATCCAATTCTATTAACCTATTTACTGATTATTTATGAATTCTGCATTTTATATTCCATAAAAGAATTTCGCTCCACAAAACAAATAGCAACATTACCGGAGGCATATAAAAGGTTTGAAAAATAAGAATTCAGCCGAAAACAACAAACTCAATGAAAAGTAAACAAGATAAGATCTATTGATGAATATGAAGAAGGTTGTGGGCTTCCGTATAATCATCATCGTCATTTTTCTTTTATGTGAATCTTCTAAGGCTGCTTTTTGTGTATTTGTGTCTACATTTAAATATTTGAAAGAATTATGGAGAAGAGAAGTTTTGGCTTTGAGCTTTTTGAATGTCTGGCTGCGGTAATTTAAGGTCCGTTCATAAATGACGCAACGCAGAACTATATCAGTTATTCAAGGAAGCTAATATTGTGAAGTGGATCATGGCCAACAGATTATGTTGGACTGATCATATGGAAGAAGCTCCAATCATTAAAATTTTTAAGTCTCATTTTGTAGATGGAAAGAGACTGCTCGGACGATCAAAGAATTCCTGAAAGGAAGCTGTTGACATAGGTAGCATAGCATTTGGTATTAGCAGATGCCAATCATGGGAGGCTATGAATCAAAATTGATCTGTAAAGCTATGTTTGTCATAAATGACGTCTACCATTTAGGAGAGGGACGGAGTCATACAACTTTTGTGACAAGGTTGGGAAGGGAGTCTAAAAAATCTTCTAAGATGAAACTGACTCTTAGTACTGGGGTTCCTTGATTTGAGTAGGTGTTTTGTTCCAAAAAATCCTATTCAAATTGAATCTACTAAAATCGAGGACCCATAGTAAATTGCTGTTCATTTATTACGTATCGCTTTTTGAGGGGGGGGGGGGGAACTTTTTTTTGAGGGTGAGAACTTTGAGATTTCAGGTCAAATTCATTAAATCACATAATCATTAAATGCCCCCTTAAGAATATAGTGTAATATTTTGGAATCAAGTTAGAACATTGTTTCTCAAACTTTCCTCCGTGGTGCTTAACTGCCGCGTGAAAAAAATTCAGTTGTGTCAGTTGCAGCGTGGATTATAAAGACAAATAAATGTTTTACTGCTCCGTAGTCTGCAAACTTATAGAAACACTGAGCTAGAAGATCATGACACCAATAAACACAGCCAGGAGGTGAAAAATCTTTAGATTTAGATTGAATCTTGATATCACAGCTTGTTGTACCTATTTTGCATTTTCATTTCAACTTATTTTGTTGAGGAATCTCAAGAAACTTCCAAAAATCAATAAGAACTTTTGTATAATCTTCGGCAATGCAAAGCTACATCCAAAGATTTGAAATGAATTTTTCATTAGCGAATCTTAAAGTTAAAGCACTGAATATCATATCCAATTCCATCACTTAATTCCCAACAAAATAAATGCGTTTTCAGCACTGGTTCCAACAAATTATTTTCTTTTGTAGAATCAAAATTTTTTCAGTATATTTCGAAGTATTTAATAAAGCACGCCAGACATACACATCAAGTCATATTGAATTCATATTATTTTGATTGCTTTTGTCTATTCCTATTCATAATCCATGCATAAGAATGAACAAAAAATCCATGAATGAAAAAAAATTCTGAATTGAATGAATAAAATTTGTGAACGTGCTTGAGGAAGAGGAACAAACACAAATAAAGTACAAGAGTGAGAAGGAAGAATAATAAAAGAAGGAATAAGAAAAATATTCAATGCCAATCCTTTCAAAAATAAATCTTTTAGATTTGAGGTTCTTACGCCATGCATTATAGACACTCGACATTGTATCATCGTCCACTTCGTTAGTAAAATTATTAACACTTTTATCGACCATAGTCAAAAAATATATTTTTTTTATGCTGCACGGGGAAAATTTTTTCTAATTTTTTTGCTTTTCCGAAAAAACTTTTTTTTTAATTTTTTTACACAATTTTTAACAAGAATTTCATTTTGCACAACATTTTGAGTCACTTATCGCGTACATTGAGCATTAAATATTGAAATTAACTGAGAAACTGTGAAAAGTTTTTGCTAATTGAAACAAACATAGTACGTCGAACGGAGAGCAAAACCAAAACAATACGAAGAGAAATTGAACAAGTTACAAGGCAGGTGGGATTGTTTCAAAGTGAAATGAATTAAGTCCATTTGGAAATATTTTTCTATTATTAATGTGTGAATTTTTTAACATTTATGGCATCTACCGCTACATTTTAATTACTTTTCCCATCCATTAAAATCCGTACATAAAGTCTTTATTGAGGAAATTAAAATTTTTACAACTTTTTACGGCCATAAACAGTTTTGACGCGAAATTCATCAATTGCAGCAGGAAATGTGCTAAAAGACATGCGCAACATTCCACGGGGGTGATTATTGAGGACTTTTTATTCACCACAAAATGTAAACACGAGAGAATTTCACCACACTGGCCATGTGACTGGAAATGTTGTGCATTATTTTGAAAACTAAAGTCGTTATTTCAGTTTTATAATCATTAAAAATTAATTCACATGTTTTCGATGATTTGAAGTGATAACAAACATTTAATGAACTTCCTGCCTTGGTTTTATGCTCGACATACGAAGCTGTAATAATCAAGCTTTTAACATTGACAATGAAATGAGTCAATAAAAAATTATAATTTATTTGAATTTCATTTACTTTATCAGTCGTAATTAATTTAATAATTGCAGTCATGAGAATGATGAACAAATGTGGTGACTTAATTGCTTGATTGTTATGTGAAAAATGATATTAAGTGTTTATGAATAATGATTGTATTGAATTATCCCAAATAGCACAAGTCAGTTAATTGAATAGAAAGCAGGTGCTGAGCTGGTAAGAATCTGGCATGAAGCTTGCTTCGATTTAAATCTAGCACCCTGCTAGAGTCTAGTGTCTTGGTGCCGATTAACCAATCTGTGCCATTCCGGGAATAATGATTGTATTAATAATTGATTGAATTACGTTCAAGGGGAATTTAAAAGACAATCATCCAATCGAAAGATTGCTGGCTACACCTCTGTAATATCATTAAGACTATTGATTTATATTTGATGATATGAACACTGAAGGGCTATAAGGAACTACTTAATACTTGAAGTTAGTATGTTTGCAAATATTTAAAAGTGATGTTTGCTGTTTCAAGCTTGTTTTGCATTTAAATGGTTGTTTAAAAGTGTTTTGAAGACACTTAAGTGTGGCATTCGCCTGTGAACTGTAAAAACAATGTTATTCTGATTTTATTAATTTTTTATGATCGTCAACTGCATCTCGAAGTTCTTTAATGTTCAAAATTAAGGCTTAAGCCTTATTTTGGTACACCTTATTTCAATTTTAATAACATAGATTACGAACAATGGAGATTTATAAAGTATACAGTAAAGGACTTTTGAGCGGAACAATCCTGCTTTTTGAAAAAAGTTCGGCCCAAAAATCCTTATTGTCCAGTTTTTTTGCTTGGAACATGCTTGAAAATTTGGTCTGTTCCGCTTTTTTAGAGCTGAAATCCAGACTTCCCCCGCTTTTTGACCAGCAATTAGCGAAAACTGACTCCAGTCCCAACTGCCGTGTAAATCCACAAAATGTAAAATCTCCATTGAAACCACTTGTATGTAACAAGCAAAGCTTAATCTACAAGTTTATTCCAAGCAATCCCAATAATGTACATATTTGCAAGAATGTTCATTTGTCACATTTTAACCTTGAAAAATGTCCACTATCAAGACACTTCACATTAGGCTTCGATTCACGTTTGCGAATGATGATAAGATTTATAAGCACATCAATGCATGTGAGTTGATAAGATTGTCAATTCCTCAATTATTAAGTGACGCCATGTGATATCATCATAATAAATTCAATTATATTTGGAACAAGTTGAAAAGTCAACGAAATTATTGCTTGATTACCCGAGACTAAAAATAATTTGAGAGGGAAAGAAGATAAGAGTAAGCAATAAAGCTGTTCTATAAAACATCAAAGCATGAATTATTTTGATTTAATTTTTTTAAAAATTGTTGGGGATTTATTGATTGTTTTCTGAAACAATTAAGAATGTTCCGTGGAGCATAGTTTGAGAAGTACTGAGATATTTGTTGTTGATAAGATTGTGGAATAATTTTGGGGAATAACCAGGAAACGAACTGATTAGATTTAAAACTTGAATGCTTTTGACCATAATTTATTTTGTAACCAAACGTGAGAATTGAAATTAATGTGGTTTTAATGTTGTGAATCTTGTGAATTCATGAGATTTTAAAATTTTATAGACCTTCCCAGTATTTCAACTTAAATCAGCTGATGTCTACCCATAGTTTAGCCAGTTTTAAAACCTATTCCAAACATCCAATTTAAAACAACTGACCCAAAGTTTTAATAATCACGAATTTAAACATCCATCACTAAAATATTTATCATATATGTACCTTTTTATGGTAAAAGTCCAAGAAATGTCAAATTTTCCACTTAAACTCACACCAAACCCTTCATCACACCCGTCATTAAAACAGTTACACTTAAATTATCCAATAAAATGCCATAATTAATGAACATATGTTGCGCAAGATAGCCTCATTAAATGACTTCATACTTTTTTTTGCAACTATCCAATCAATCAGCAACAACAAAAAACAGTTCCAACTTGATTATTCGCATTCTTCGTCCATTACGAAACGTTCTTATCGCGTCATTCATCTTTTACAACTCCCTTGATGATAATTTTTATTTTTTTTTATCGAAATGACGTTGTCAGTGCTTCATATCAAATCATTCAATTATAGGAGGGGTATGTGCGGAAGCGATGTCTAGTTTTAAGTTGATACATGAGGTTGCTCATAAATACAAAGCTATAAATAAAAGGTATAAAGCCATGGAAGTCTGAAGCTTTGAGAGGTCTGAAGTTTTAAGGGGTCTGAAGCTTTCAGGGGTCTGAAGCTGTGAGGGGTCTGAAGTTGTGAGGTGTCTGAAGCTTTGAGGGGTCTGAAGCTGTGAGGGGTCTGAAGCTGTGAGGAATCTGAAGCTTTGAGGGGTCTGAAGCTGTAAGGGTCTGAAGCTTTGAGGGGTCTGAAGCTTTGAGGGGTCTGAAGCTTTGAGCTTTGGGTCGGAAGCTGTGAGGAGTCTGGAGCTGTGAGGGGTCTGAAACTTTGAGGGTTCTGAAGCTGTGAGGGATCTGAAGCTTTGAGGGGTCTGAAGCTTTGAGGGGTCTGAAGCTGTAAGGGTCTGAAGTTGTGAGGTGTCTGAAGCTTTGAGGGGTCTGAAGCTGTGAGGGGTCTGAAGCTGTGAGGTGTCTGAAGCTGTGAGGGATCTGAAGCTTTCAGGGGTCTGAAGCTGTAAGGGTCTGAAGCTTTGAGGGGTCTGAAGCTGTGAGGTGTCTGAAACTTTGAGGGGTCTGAAGCTTTCAGGGGTCTGAAGCTGTGAGGGGTCTGGAGCTGTGAGGTGTCTGAAACTTTGAGGGCTCTGAAGCTGTGAGGTGTCTGAAGCTTTGAAGAGTCTGAAGCTTTGAGGATCTGAAGCTGTGAGGGGTCTAAAGCTTTGAGTTTTGGGTCGGAAGCTCATATTAAGACTAAATCTAAACTTGACCTTGATCATACCCAATCTTGTCTCAATACCAAATATCAATCAAAACTAAATCAATGGAAGCGTCTAAAAATCAAATATATTGAACTACATCACTTGCAAACAACCCCAAATGTAATTTTTCTTTATCGTTCGTCAAGTTATTAATGAGATTGGCCATACAGTTACAATGTAAAAAAAATTCATGACCATTTTGATGATTAAAAAAATCGTCTCACATTTTCCCACAATCTTCCAAAAAGAAGTAAACTCTTGTCATCATGAAAAGAAGAATTAAGTCTCGAATTTTAATTCATCATAAACATGCTCACGAATGAACAATGAAAATCGATTAGAGGAAATTCCCATAAAAAGAATTGAACAAGACTTTAAAGCGCGATAAGCCCATTAAATGGCTATTAATGCTCGATATGTGGATGAATAGACAATTTAATTAAAAAATTACATATAAGTATGCCCAAATTCGTCTATGTTTGTTATCTTAAACATTTTAGAATTGGAAATTGACTTTGAAATTTGTTTATGTCGCGCAGCTACTGCTTAATGATTTGTTTTTATCGGACATAAATAAAGTTTTACTTTTTATATCAGCATTTAATATTAAATTTATAATTTTGTTTTGGAAGTTTTATGAATTAAGCCACAGCATTTAAGATAAGAATGAGAAAAACTTGAATTTTATCGAATTTGACTAAGTAGCTCCGAAAAATATATTTGGACATTAAAATTCACATTATTGGACTTGATAGCGCATTAACAATCATCCATAGAAGGCTCGGCAAAAATAAAATACTTAATGACTACTGCCGACTCAATCGAAATTAACATTCAACCTTAGATATGTGCGAAAAATGGGCATTGGCTTTTGTGTGATGTTAGCGATTATTAGCGACACCTTTTTATGAAAGTTCATGAATTTTAAATGCAGTTTGAAATAGATTGGATATTTGTAAATGTATAAATTGGATTGTAATCGTGTAAGGCTTCAAAATAAGGTCGTGACTTGAAGATAATTGAAAGCTTTAAATAGTTGTCGATTATTGGAATTGGTTTTGAGATTGTTTGAGTGGATTAGATTGAAATTGAGTCTGTTTTGGATTTGAAAAGGTTAGTTTGAGATGCATTCTGAATTTGGGGTTCAGACAACTTTAAAGACTCAAGAAGCTTCTAAAGTTTGGTCTAGTAACTTGCTTATCTCTTATATTGATGCTAAATGACTTGTTTTCGACCCAATTAACCAATTCAGCACCAAGACTAAACACCAAATTTTATATTTTGATAATTTATTCAGAATCTCCAATTTTTTGAATCCAAAAAACAGACCAACATTAAGCAATACATCATTGACATGTAAGCATAAATTACTCATTTGTAACAGAATGAAAACAACATCTTAATTTGAAGAACTTGTTGTTTCAATTAAAGCTACATCTATTTCGTGACTATTCTCATTAAATCTTTCTCTTTTGCTCATCTTACAAGCTTCCAACTCAATTCCATTTCATGTTCATAAACTCTACTGCAGGATAAGCTGATTTATAAGCAAGATGGAATATAAATTAGTCTAGTCTGATAGACGAGATAGAATTTTGGCAAAAAGGAAATAAAATTTGGCAAGATGAAATGT